CCTCCTATCTTCTCTGATTCCCGAAACCACCCTCCCGCCAAAACATTTACATAAATTCTTTTAGGTATCCGAACGTAAGCGCCACTGTACATGAACACTGATTTTAAGCTGTTTTGAAAGAAGATAGATTGGGAACATCACTGTGAATTTTAACTTCCTACTCCTGCGAGTGCTGAGTTGAATGTGGGTGAACACATACCGACAACCTCTCAACAACATGCATTTTTGCATTTGCATAAAGATGCAAAAACGCATACGAATGAGACCGATTTCGGACTGTGAGAAGTGACTTCTACATTTAGGGTGCTAACTATTAATTACCAAACACATACTGATTGCGTATCTTTGAAATATTGTCCATTTTGGCTCCGTTCTTTTTTAAACAAGTTACATTTGGGGTAACAGCTAACAAAAACAAAAAATTTCTAGCTCATTCCGCACAACCCGCATGCCTGAATTTTGTGGATGCAGATTTAACGCAATCAAACATTTCCATGACTCTAAGCGAACAAATCTAAGCCAAAACTCCGTTCTTCGAGCTCAGAAAACTTGCACCCTTTTAGAGGTCGTCATTCAAAAAATGCACTCACACGCGACTCATGCGATAATAGCTCCACGAATAAGCAACTTAATATCAAAGCTGCCAGCCTTCATCGCTTCCGAAGATTGGGTGGAAAGTAAAGTTAAGGCAGCGTTGATAATCAGCACAATAAAAGCACTGAAAACGACGTAACAAATAAGTTGATCACGGAAAATTTGATTTTCGCAACAATTTCGAAGGGTGCAGTTTGTCCGACACTAGTGTAACACTGTAGGTTGCTGTACCACAACGTATTTTAAAAATTGGCGCGAGAAAGTGCCAGGAGTTGCGCGGATGGCAAGAAAAGCACATATCACAGCAGCACCCAGCTGGTATGATGAAGCAGAAGTGATATGCACGAAGTACCTGTGCATATCTGCATAAGCTGAGAAATTCAACCAGCCAATAGTTTCAACATGACAATATTATTACAAGCACTCAACTGAGCATCACGCAGTCTGTTAAGAGTTGAAAGACAGCACGTTCGAACATGATAAACAATGAGAGCGAATATAAGTGACAGTAATGATGCGTAGCGTCTCAGGAAAATCTTGCTGTTTTGGCTTTATAAAATAAGGA